GGGGTGAAAGAGTGACTAGGGCGTACACGGTAGAGGTGCAGACCGCTAGTGTCTTTTATGCGCAGAGTCTTATCCTCTTGCTCTTTGAGCCTTGAAGCAGTCAAGCATGGACACACTATATCAGCTGTTGGAGTGGAACCCTGTACAGGTAGGCTCTACTTTTCAGCAGGCACAAGATTCATGTCCACTTCTAGCTGATTGCGTATGTCGCATACTCTTTTTCTACTGCAAGGCTAAAACAGTCCAGCTAGCTCTGACAACTTAAAAGAAAACTACGGTGCCATGTACTTACCTAATCCAGTGTGTTTCACACCTTGGAGAAGGTAATCTCATAGCTACTAAATACAGTGAGGGAGCAATAGCTGACTCACCTCAAGTACAAAATCAAAGCGATAATGTACCTCGGCTGGAGACTGTACTTTTCGCAGGCGGAGATACCATGTACCGGCGCTCACTAGCTCTTTATGGCCTGAGCTAAATCAAACTAAAAGGGAAAGCGGCTTTTTCTCTACAGAGACCTATAAAAGAATCAAACGACACTCGCGTAACAAAGAACTAAAAATTCAAGACCGCACAATGCAATGAATTAAGATGCCTTGCAAAATGCAAGGAGCGTACGGTCCGAGGAATAATCTTCTCGTGATGTGGTCTCGACCGCTTTCATTCACAGACAAAATAAACTGCATCAAAAGGACTCTCTTTCACATTCACATCAAAAACACAAGAAGGAGATACCGGCAAATGTATGTACAAAAAATCTTGCACTACAATTGCAAATCATGAAATGACTTAATCATCAACCATGACTGGTTGTCCATTAGAGGTCATCTCAGAAAAAGCGGCTGTGATAGATATCATCAGTTATGCAAAACTGTCCATACCTATCTGCATGCTAAAGCGTATAAACCTGGAATGCAGGAGTATCTTCTTTGATAAAAAGTTTCTCCTCATTGCAAACCAGAATTTATTAAAACTTCAGCCTGGCAACTTAAAGTCAAGCCTGGAAGCAAAGTATCAACTGTAACCAGAAGTATCTTCACTTCCTAGCCATCATTTAAATTTCAGCCTTCGCTCAGGAATTATGCCGCTGCAGACGATGAAGCTGCTTGATCAGAAGTTGGCGGCCTTCCTTTCTTTCTATTCTGCTTCTGTCTCTCCTTCCTCCGCACGTTCGCCTCATGAAGCGTTGCTCCCATGCGATACTGTCTTCTGTCTCCAGATGAAAGGGAAGCTGGTCTGAGTGAAATAAACATTGGACCATGACTGTCCTCGTCAGTGGGCCTTGAGCACATAACCTCTGTGTCAATCATAGCAAAGTTCTCTGAAAAATTACAGATGAACTCCTGCGTGCTCACTGTGGAATTTTCATATTCCTCTTCACTCATTGAATGACCCCATTCAACAATGGTAGACAAACATGTATCGCCAAGCTGTGATCCTTGGTATTCTTCTTTTTCAACAGTAGAATATTCTTCCCAGAGTTTATCAAAGTAAACTTCACACTTCTTGAGGACCTGTGAAGTTGAACTGTAAAATGTTCTGGGAATAGGTGCTTTGATACCAAGATCTGCTTTTACACGAGCTTCTGAAAACCTGCGGATCCAATGCTGCATGGTGCTGTAATAGTAGTTAGCCATTGGCTGCCTTTTGTACCCAGACATTCTGTAGGCCAAACTATTTGCATCACCAGAAATGATGTCCACCTCATAGACAAAACACTCGTAAAGCATCAGTGCTGTCTGTTCTCCTGTCAGTAGGTGGGCATCCACAGCACGGTGTGTATCAACATGATAATTACAGACTCTGATGGTATGCATGTTCGCTCGAGTAAGTGGAACACGCTTGTCCTCAGGACCATAGTCATCAAATTCAAAGTCTGCATCCTTGAAATCTTGACGAGGCCTTGTTTCTCCAAAACAAATCTCGTAGATAGCCCAAGTTACATCACGCTGTTCACAGTGACCAAGTTCTTGATCATGTCCAGCAATGATCTTGACATATCCACCTGGTGCCAATCTAGCCATCACTGCAAGATTCTCCCAATCATTGAAACAAACTGTCCAATTCTTTTGCTCAATAAATTCCTTGGCAGGAACAAGAAGATGAGCTTCCTGGAGAATCACGACATGTGCACGTAAAAAGAAGAGCATGTTGAAGAAAAGGTTGTTCTCAAATTGCTCATTCTGAAGTGACATGGCGCTCTGTTTGCGTGGCCTCATTGCACTATCAAGTCCTTGGAGAAACCTTGGTGTGGTGTACTTCTGACCACGAACCATGTTGCCATAGTTCCAGGATAAAAATGTCAAGGACTCTGAGCT